AGTAGAAAGTACAGATATTTGTGTAAAAATGTAAGGAGCAGAAGTAAAAAGTCGCCATAAAAATAAGTAGTAAAGTAAAGTAAAAATATTCGAAAAATCTACTTGAGTACAGTAACGAAGTATTTGTACTTCGTTACTTCCCATCTCTGGTAGAGGGGGTAGACTCCACGGAAGTGTTTATGTAAAGGATAGGTAGGGTTGGGAGGTTCTTTATTGAACCGAGTAGAAGACTCAAGGTATTCAGTGATCCTTATTGTAATGGAGATGTGCAACAAAAACAAACAACAAAGGTAAAACATACCTGAGAAGCCTATCATGCTGGCCATGTGATTTAGTAGGGTTTATTACTTGGATGATTTTATTTTTGCTTATTTATTTATTTTTTAAACTGAAATGGACAGATGCCAGTTTTTATAATGGGAGTTAAAGAAATAATATATAGTCTTTGAGCAAAGGTGAGTCTAGCTGCTCAGTTTGTAAAATAACTTTCAATACATTAATAGATATAGAGCCTAATCGCCCCTTTATGATCTCTTGGTTTATTTAATGCAAAAAGCCTAATGCAGATGACTTTAATAGAAAGAGAATAATGTTAGTAGCTTACTACAAATAATTTATAATATTATTAAGAGGGTATTTAAATGTTTAGATAAAAAAAAGTTTTATTTTTTGTAAACTAAATGTTAACTTTCGATCAGGAATAAAATATTTATTACAAAAACTTAAATTGTCTAGAGCTGTTTTAAACGAAAAATAAATCTGTCTAAGTCTAAAATATTTGACCAGATAAAGATTTCAGGTCAAAGAATCAACACCTTTTGGTCTTGAAGGTGGTCTTAAAAGTTGATTTATGCTTAATCGACTGTTCTGAACTTTACTTTTTGTGCATATATGATCTTTTCATATTATTGATATACCACACAGATCAAGAATTTTACATAATTATTTCATGATCCTAAAAACATTACATCCCTAAAGATAGCCATTTACTATATCTTCAATGCTTTAAGATAACACTTTGTAAATAAACTTTTTCAGCCTTTTTCCACTTTTTTTTCTTAATACCTGTGTGGACAACATATTTGGTTTATTAACCCACTCAGGAATGTTTGCATGCAAAATGGCTCAGTGAACTTACAAATCTGTATTGTGAAGCTCAGTTTTGGAGCAGCACAGGACCCAGGACCCACAGGATAGCATGGGGTGCTAGCAAATTCAAACTTAATGCAGCATGACTCTTTGAAAACTCTCTCACATCTCCATTCAGCAACTAATCTCATTTCCCCACAGGAAAACAATTAACAAACGCAAGGTCTTTGCTCCCTCCTGGGAGTAACCAGGGTAACTTCTGTGACCTCACAAACACAGGACTGTTCCTCTGGAAGAACAGGCTTTTCTCTCCTAATGTTCATTAATGTTCCCTTTAGTTCAACCTCGGCTGATGGCCGCACAGCACAGGAAAACCGTAAAGGCCCAGGTTTAGACAACCGTTTGTTTATGTTGTGCGTAATTTGGCCTTCTTGTGTTTAGTTATGTTGAGATTCTATTGCTAGAATATTGCATAGTAAAGAATTAAGCATAACAGGGATGATAGACAAATAAATGTTCTTAGGAAACATATATTCGCATAAGGAAGGTGTGTTTCCTTAGAAAAAGAATTAGTCGAGTGGAAAACATCTGGACTAGTAAAAGAGGTCCAGCTTCATTTGTTCAAGAACTTTTCACTTAATGCTTTTCTAAAACCATTGTTTATTAGTAGCATTCCAACAAAGTTATTCTTGTCGAATATATATAAAACAATAAAAATAAATGAAAACTTAATTAATGGATGAATTAATTTTTTTACTGTCATTGAAGCAGAATTGACTAACACCGAAAGATTATCCGTTATTTAACAGAGTTTAGGAGATTTTTTTTTATCTCTAGCCTCAGTGTGTGGGAGCAAACCATTGTTAAACTTTTAATTATTACTTAATCTGGAAATATGGGTGGGTTCAGGAGAGTAGATATGTTACTTAAGCAATTTAATGAGTTATAAAGGTTAGCAATCTTGCCATACTTGAATTCAATGTTCTATAATTTTTTTACATTCTTGACAGCAGGTGGTAAAAATAGCGTTGTTTTTCACATCATGTTACTCCACAAGAAAAAAGGGAAGTAATGGTTTTATCATTCTATTCAATATAAAAGGGAAATTATAAAACCCAAAAGTAATTTAGTTTATACAATTCTAATCATATTTATTCAGTCGACAGGAAAATATTACAACTAGGGCTGCACTAGGGCTGCAGCTAACTATGTTTTATAATTATTTAGCAAATCGATTAATCTGTTGATTATCTTTTTGATAATTAACAATTGGAAAGCCAAAGGTTCCACTTGAGTAGTCCTGGATAGAGCATGTTTTTTTTTATTTTAAATGTAAAATGTTTATTTTCTTTTACAATTTTTGTATAAATACTGCTCTAAGTGGTTTTCTCTGTCAGCCAAAGGCATGTGTAAAAGTCTCTATACTCCAGTTATGGTTTAATCGGTTACTAAATTAGTTGAAAATTATTTCAATAATCAATAAATCAGAATTATTCCGATTAATTGTTTCAGCCCTAATTACCACCCGCTGGTAGATACAGATGCACCAATGGAAAATATATCAGGTCAGATCTCTAACAAACATTTCTTCTCCTACCAAAGATAGGAGCGCTTGTTTCTTAAAATAACATAATATTACTCTTATTATGACAATTAATACATATTAGACTAGAGTCTTAGTATGGCCCCTATGCTCTTTTTTATTGACTTCCAACCATGTAGTTTGTGTAAGTAAATTGAAACTATTGCAAACTGTAAAAATCCTTTTGTTTTTTCAGTAAATTTTTTCCATCTTGTCACTTTAGAAGTTATAGTGAAGTATAGAATCTCTTTTCTTGTGTTTTATAAATTTTACAAATTATGGTTTTACTTAAAGGGTGTAAATTTCAATTAAAATACATGGGTAGCTAATCTTGGGGTACATTAAAACAAACAAGATTGTCTTATCATTTTTTGTGGTTCAACAAAGTTGACAAAGTATTTGTTTAGATAGCAATCCAGTGAGAGTGACCTATCTGTATTAAACAGATTTCTAAGAATAGGTCATAGCAGGCCGATCAGATGAGGTTTATCACAACAAACCTCTGTAAGGGGATGCATGCAGTACCAATACTCAGACCCAGGTCTTCATAATCAATTTTTTATATTAAGTTTTATTTCTTTTTTCTATGGCCGAAGTATTGTTTTCAGTTTCAAAATTGAAGGCTGCACGGTGGTACGGTTTGTAGCACTGTTGTCTTTTGGGTTCAAATGCCAGCCCAGAGTATTTCTGCATGGGGTTTGAATGTTCTCCCTGTGCATGCATGGGTTCTCTCCGGGTACTCCAGCTTCCTCCCACAGTCCAAAAACATGACTATTATGTTAATTGGTATCTTTAATTAGAGTGTGTGCATGGTTGTATGTCTCTTTGTTACCCTGTGGCAGACTGGTGACCTGTCTAGGGTATATCATGCCCCTTGCCCATAGACTGGCGGTGATAGGCACTGGCCCCACCGCAACCCTGACAGAATAAGCAGGGCAAGCTGGATAGATGAAGGTTTACAATTGTATCAATGTGTGTTCACACCACCTCCTCCAGACCTCCTTGTGACACAGTTCTGGACCATGCCATCCCGTGTTGGGGGACGATTCACCCGCACAATAGAGAGAAAGTGAAACCATGTTCTAGAGCTCAGACAGGAGCAATGAAAAATCACTGCAAGAGCACTAGCAGAGATTGTACCAGGACCTGGAGATCATTTGCTAAATCCTGATTGGTGCATCTCTACTGGTAAAAGGCCAGTAGAGATAAAGGCCTTTTAATGTTAGTATGCTATTAATTAACATAATAACGTATGTTATGATTTGAAACTTTTTACATCCTAAAACATGAGATCCTTCCATTACAATTTAGTAAAAAAATAAATAAATAAAAAAGTTCCAAAAATATTTAGTTCCTAAAGGGACACAGCAAAGGTACATACACTCACTATTGCAATATGTATTAATTTTATTTTCTAAACATCTCTTCAGTGATTCTTTAAACAAGTTTAACTCTCAAACTAATACCTATTTAAATGCCAGCAAGTCAGGAGACTTGACCAAAGTGCTTTACATTACATTCACCCACACACTGATGGTGGCAAGCTACATTGTAGCCACAGCTGCCCTGGGGCTCACTGACAGAAGCGAAGCTGCCATATACTGGCACCACTGGGCCCCCTGACCACCATCAGTAGACCATGCAGGACACATTGTTGTTGCCCAAGAACATAATGACACTGAACCTGAGCCAGGGCTTGAACCATGAAACCTTTGATTTCAGGGCAAACTCCTACACCCGGCGCACCTTTTGTATTACATTTCAGGATTTTTAGAACCTTCTAAGCATGCAGGGTCCTAACTTGTCAACGTTTAGCTAATCTGCCTTATTTTGTTTTATTTCTTAGATTGTCAGGACATTCTTATTAAGAGCCATCTTCAGGTAATTCCATATATTCTTTTGTCAAGTCTTATTTCTGAATCCAGGGGAACCAATCGCCCTTTATGATTAGTTTTCTACCTGACACCTGATGGTTAAGGGAGTTAATGACAATCTGCCACTCAGTTTTAGGTGCTTTTAATCAGCCATAGATATTTGCTTTATGGAAGAAAATAATGAAAAATAAACTCATGCTGTTATGATGATCAACTCTTATTATAAGGTGCACCAGATTAAATGTTTAACAATACTGTAGTCATAATATTATGAAAACAAAGTTGTATAATATTACCACAATAAAGTGATAATATTATGAGAATCATATTAAGAGAATACACATCAGAGAAAAAAAATGTCAGGTCAGATCTCTAACAAATATTCCTTCTCCTACCAAAGATAGGAGAGCTTGTTTCTTAAAACAACATAATATTACTCATATTATTACAATTATTACATATTTGACTAGAGTCTTAGTATGGCCCCTATGCTCTCTTGTATTGACTTCCAACAATGAAGTTTGTGTAACAACATTGAAACTATTGCAAACTGTAAAAATCACAATACAACAGAATGTAATGACATAAATTACTGAGTATTAATTTTGGTCTTAGGAAGCCTAAACAAAAGGTTCAGCTTGTAAATAAAATATCCAAAATCTTTACATTATCTGAAGAATTCACTTTAAAGTCCACATTAAAAATATTTTATTGGGGGGTTTCTTCAACAAGTCATTGTACATCTTGATTGCTGTAAGCAGTAATAAATCCAAGCATATAAAGTCATAATTAAACTGTTAGAATATTAACAAAAATGAATTTGTCTCAATAACTTAATTCATTAAGCTGTGATGGTTTTGAAGTCTCTGTTTTTTAAATCATGTCTTTCCATGTCTGATTAACATACTGTAGTGTAAGTGTTTTTTTATCCAAAAAGAAAAAGCAGCTTAAGATACACTAAGTGGAGAGTATAAAACTCTACCTGAGGGTCAGAGAGACGTGAAATGTCTGGGTAGAGGTAGAATTTGATGCCATCAAAAGCTCCAGGCAGTGTGATTCCCCTGATCAGGAGGACCAGCAGCATGACGTATGGAAAGGTAGCTGTTACATAAACAACCTGCAGAGGCACACGTACAAATCTGTTAGATGAAGAGAAAGATTACAGTAGAGAACAGTGAACATCAACACAGTAATAATTGAAACAGTCTTTTCTTTTTTTTTTCAAAAACTTGACATGAATGGAAAGTTGCTGGTATCAAATTTATTTAGTGTCTGTATCTCATGCAATTCAGCAATATTTACAATGACAGTACAGTGATGATCAAGGGAAAATGTTCCATGGCTGAAAGCAGCTGTCTGCATCAAATTCACATGAAGTTCAGGTTCTCTTGAAGATCCTAAACATATCACTTAACCCCTCCCCCCACACCCATGAAATATAGCTGGGTTCATGCAGTTTATTCATTACTCAAGGTGCTATTTGAAATAAAACATACCATCAAGAGAAACTGAGTTTTGATGTTCTTGATGCTAGATTAAGGGTATTGTGGAGGATTTTCATGAATTATTGAAAATACCTGCCGACTTAAAAAAAAAAAAAAAAAGCACAACCCTGTACTTGCTCCCGAGAGGGAACGTCTATTTCCAAAAGAAAATTAGCAATTTTTCCACTATGTCAGACTCACTACTGGAAGGTGAAAACAGGGACGAGCACATGGGACAGACATACGTAAACATATCACCAGCATGATTGACAATTAGGAAGATCACGATTTTGATTATCATCCCAAAAAAAGGACATGCTCCACTATACCTTTAATACTGCACAAAAATACATTTTCTTTTCTTTTTTTTTTAAAAATAAAATGTTCTTGAAAGCAAAGCAGTGAGGTCTGCATTATTGGATCATAGGTCAAAGAAGGTTTTATTTGGCTTATAGAATGAGTCATGGGTTGTTTTTACAGGCCTAATCTCCTTTATTCATAAAACACTCAGCAAAACTGCAACTTTTTTTTGGAAATTAACTAGTCAAATATCATGTCAACTGCAACAAACTTGAGTTATGTGAAGAAAAACAAAAAAGAAAATAAACAGCTTTAAAATGTGTGTTTTTGTTCAAGGCAAGACAATTCAAATTTATAAATAATTAGATAAATGAAAAATTATTAATCTAAAGATAAGATGAAAAAAAGATGCCATAGTTAAAAGCCAGTCTAAACAAATAAGCTTTTAATCCGAATCCAAAACAGCTGTTGATTCATTTGCTTTTACAGTTTTCTCGGAGTTTCTACAGATTGGTGGAGAATAAAAACTAAGCTGTGTTCGAACGTCCGCCCTAATCACTATATAGGGCACTGTATGGTGGTTGCACCATTTTAGATAAGTGTTAGAACTTATAGTGGATGAAAAAGCAGATGTTTTGAGAAAGCTCCCCTCGCAAAGCATCATGGGATTTGTTGTGGCGGTAAGAAAAGAAGAAAGATGGCACAGATTGCGTGCGGGAACATGGAGTAACATGATCAAAAGGAAGTAAAAAGTAGTGGTCATCTGTCCAAACGGTCAGTTTAAGTGAGTTAACTATAAAATCATCAATATAGTCCCTTGTCTATATAGTGAGTGAGATCTGTAAGGCATCTGTATGGCATTTTAGTGTTAAGTCATTCAGAGATTACTAACTCAAATTAAGTATTTTGGAGTATGGGGAGCCAGTGTGATGACATCAGAACTGGTGTGATGTACTCCATTTTCTTCTAAGGTGAGGATGCAGGCAGCAGCATTCTGGATCAACTTCAGCTGTCTGATCCATTTTGGCAACAAACCTGAGAATACACCACTGCATCAATTCTACCAAAGATGATCACACTAATTGATTTTTTCAAGATCCTGCCAAGACTCTAGCCCTTAAATCCTGGAGATGTTCTTACGGGGATTGATGGCTGACTTTTTGTACTGTCTTTGTGTGCCTTTGAAGGTTCAGGTTTAAGTCAATCACTAGACGTGGATTTAGAGCATGATCAATGGTTTCTAGCTGTATTAATCAAAGTTGTGTGCTAAACTATATAGCTCCTTCTTTGGTCCAAAAATCAATGCTTCATTTTTGCTTCAGTTCACTGAAGGACATTTTTAAACTTCCATGTGTGGATTTTTTCTATGCAGTTAACCTGCACTTCAAAGAGTCCATAGTCAGCTGGTGGATTTGGTCAGTATTAGGCAGATTTTAACTTCTGACACTATTTGAAAAATCTTAATGAGGAAGGCAAGGTTCAAAATAGGCCTGTAGTTCTGCAGTAGAAGAGAGCAGCTCAGGATCTTCAGACCCTAAGAACAGTCAGGGAAAATAGGCAACATGCTTATAGATGCACCGGCTCTGAAATACTGAGAAGTCATAATACCATGTTTTAGTCTTAAAGGCTCAACTAAAAGGGCTATTTCAAAGATATTTTTTTTCTGTAAAAACTTACAAGATGTCTCTTTAAGGAAAGCTGTGGGTAATATATTAATACAACAGGAACAAGATTTTAGCTGGTATCTGATTCCTATATAAATTTTAATTTAATGCAAACATATGATGGATTTATCAGTTATTTACAGTTTTTTAAGGATTGATCCAAAAATACTAATGTAGTTGTCAGGGAATGCCATTGTCTGATGCAAAAAACAGAGGTAATACAGGACTCATTGTGATGCAGACACTGAAAGAAAGCACCTTAATAAAAAGAAAATTGGAGATGGGACAGAGAGACAGGCTACAAAAGAGAGCTGGGTACAAGGGGGAAAGGAGTGCAAAAAAACAAAATGTCAGGAAAGAAGTGAAAAACAATAGAGCTCCAAAGCAAGGAGAATCCATCTAACAATGATCACTCATCTGACAAGTCCAAACTTTCCTAGAGGCAGGGTGCACCCCCCCACCCATACAGCAGATAAACTCAATTACTGTGGACATCAGTGAACAGAAGCTACAATAAGTAGCACTGCCACCCCACTCCGCCCAAAACACGCATACAGGTGTCAGA